TCTATCTATCTATCTATCTATCTATCTATCTATCTATCTATCTATCTATCTATCTATCTATCTATCTGTGTTTGTCCGTCTGTCCAGTGTTAGAGACATAGTTACTTGTTCTGTCTCTCTGTCCAGCACAGACACATTCTCTCCCATAGCATGGGTCTGTTTCTCTATCTAACAAAGGGTCTGTTGGACATAGCTCTGTAATCTAATCAACCTGCTTTATAGCTACACCAAACCAACCCCCCCCCCCAACCAACACCACCACCACACACACACAGAGCAGAACCTTTCTTTCTTCATCCTGTCTCTTTAGCAGGGACAATACGGTTATCAGCTTTTTTAAGATCATCTGCATTTCCATAGACATAAACTTACAAGCAAAGAAAAAAAAGCTGCTCTTCTCAGTAACATTAACTCCCATCCAGATCTCATCTTTGGTAAATGATCCCTCTGCTTCTCTGAGAAATCCCACAAGAGTCCAAAATCCAGTACGAGTAATGTGATGCCACCTGCCGACCTATCTGTTACCATTTGGAGACACTGGACAGTGTGTGGGTTAGGTTTCATAAACTAATATTGATACACAGTACATCCGTCACAAGTGATATAGAAGTACGATTCTATTGTGGGGTGTTGGTCATACTTAATATTCCTCTACAGCAATGGGTTAGGAGTCATCACTGAATGAAACTCTGATCTAATTTAAACATCAGTGCTGCTTCTAACAAAAACCCATTTCTTTCAAATTACTGGCTCGTCTATCATTCTTCACATTTAAAAACTGCTTAAAAATCAGATCAGAGGTCTTTGCTGATTTTGGTACATCTTTGGCCAGACTGTGTTTAATCGTTTATCGTTTTTGTTCTTTTATAAGCCTGCAGGACATTTGAACACTGCTCTCACTTGGATTTGCTCGTCTCTGGGAAAGGACGTGACTTTCCAGTGTTTCATACATTTTTAATTTGGCCAAGATTAGGACCATAGCAGAACCATTATTTTAGCCTGCCTAAGTAATAAATAGCAGAAACTGTCATGCATTATAGTTTTAATCAATTAACATAAGTCGTCATTCTAAATAAAGGATAACAGGTAAAGATGTTTAGGAAGAGGCTGCTGAAACACGCTTGCAACCCTCTTTAGTTCAGCCAGTTTAGCATCATAACGTCTTGCACAAGATAGGCAATTTTCTTGAACAAAAAGGTTTAAGGGACTGATGAGTTGGATATTAAGGTTTTTGAAGAACAACAGATGAAGGAATCCTTTGAGGGTTAAGGGTATCAAGGCTAAAAAGAGCTAGCCAGTTGACAAGCATGGTGGTGGGAGAGTCATGCCGATGTTAGAGCGGGTGGAATAATAGAGAGAGATTACTAAATTTGAATTCTTCACTTCAACTCAAGAGCCAAATGGTTGAAACTCGGACACAGAAGAGATCCTCCAACATGAACATTGCCCCAATACCCAAATTTACAGGTTTTGAAATTAAGAAAGCAAATTAAAGAATGATTCTCACCACTTGTGTCCAACTCTTGAAGATCCAATGCCATTTTTTCCCTGTCACACTGGCTGCAGTATGTATAAAGAAGCTTCTACCATACATAGAGTAAGAATACGTCCTGATCTGTATGGGCTGTCAATCAAAATACAAAGGAGTGCCCCACTTCATGACCGCCCTGCGCACAATCCTTTTAAATTACAACAGGGAAAAGATTTTGATATTGACAAAATATAAGGGAAGCTATGTTTAAGAAAAAGGGAAGACAGCCTCAACACAGGCTGTGAAATGGTTAAGAACTGGGTGAGGCCGGGGAAGGATGATCATCACAGAGCTTTCCATGACGTTTGCTGAAGTTTTTTTTCATAGAGAGGGGAGTGCAATTAGCTATGCATATTCATTGTCTCATATTTAGTCTAAGCATCCTTGTTGTTCCACATTTGTCTTTTTTAAGCTCTAAGAGTATTGCTGTTTTAGTGTATCTGTTTTCTGAGATTCTTAGCTCCTCATATGAGAAAAGTACAATGTTTATTGAACACTGCAGCAGCAATATACTCTGAAACATACTCACAGCAACTTAATGTAATTTTACATCTGTGATTTACGATACAATGTTGTAAAAACTAGGGGTTTCCAGAAGCAACTTTTTCATTTCTGATATGATATCGATGTTGCGGCTTTGAGAATTGGCCGATACCTATATTGATCCGATGCAATATTAGCACGAATCATACTTTTATTACTTATTTTATCCAGTAGATTGTTAGAAAAGGTTTCATTAAGTGATATCACTAAAAAGTCATCAACAAAAGGTATGTAAACAACTGACCAATGTAAAATTAACCACTGAGTTAAAATGCATGAGGTTTTATATGCCGGTAAACTCAGATAATAGTTTTTTTTGTCTAATATTGGAACGATATCCAATATTGATATAGGATTGGGACATCCCAAGTAAAAATACAACTGTATTGTAACGGTCTAGCTTCAAGGACAAAGCATTTAAGTTGGCATATCAATAAATTACTCAAAAACATGACTGTTAAGTTAATTGGCTTCTCTAAATTCTCCCTAGGTGTGCATGAATGGTTGTTTGTCTCTGTATTGCCTTAAAATCTAGAGTAAAATACTGTTTGTGCCTATACAAAACAAGTACATTTTACTTAATTTGTTTAACTAAATCTAACTTACAACTTGGATGTAATTAAGGAAATGTTACTTAATATATTTACAACTGTTATGTCTTATGGAAAGTGAGATTCACTTGATACTTGCAAGTGAGTGTTGTTTGCCATTTGCATAGAAATACTTACAATATTTGAGTTTTTTTCTTCAGTGTGGTGCCTATGTCCAGCAGTCTATGGGTGAAGTCAGGCTACCCTGGACAGGTTACCAGTCCATCACAGGGCAACACAGAGACATGCAACCATTCACACACACCTAAAGAGAATTTAAATATGCTAATTAACCTAACAGTCATGTTTTATCACCGTGGGAGGAAGCCAGAGTACCTGAAGAAAACCCACACATGCACAGGGAGAACAAGCCAACTTCATAAGACAAGAGTAAAGGTAGAGATGTGATAATGGCTGAGTGTTCGGCCATTTCCTCCAAGCTGTACCAGCAGCAGGAGGTAAAACAGAAAAGTTACAGCACAATAACACTGACAGGTGGACTCACATTACTTATTTAATACCTCTAAAGGCAGCTGAATGTGCTGGATTCCATTTAAGGGGTATCAGATTAAAGGAAGTGATGACCATGTATCCTCGTCCTCAA